TTAAAGAGCTAGAGTGGGCTGTGGAAAACGCTCAGCAATACTCAAGAAGAAAGAACATAGAAGTTCACGGAATGGCCCAGCAAGGTTGCGGAGATCTGACGGCTATCGTGAAAAATCTAGCAGCCAAACTGAGCCTATCCGTAGCGCAGCCAGATAAGATCGAGTCTATGCATAGACTAAAGGCAAGATAGGGTAAAATCACTCCAATTATAGTCCGCTTTAAGGACAGGTCGGAACGAGACTGCTGGATCAGCAAGCGCATGGCGCTGAAAAGCGAAAGGGTTTTTATTGTCGAGATCCCGACTTAACTCCAGCGGTGGTTCTTTCGGAATGCAAAAGAATGTGAGAGAGAAAGGGGATTTCAACATGTCTGGATAAAGAACGGAAAAATATGGGTCAGAAAGGGGCAAGGAACGAATGCAATACGAATTGAAAGCTATAGTGACTTAGACAAAATTCAATAAAGCTATGTCTTCTAATACATTTGAAGAATGGAACTGTCATACGCAAAACCTACTAGGTGAGAAAGGGAAAAGGAAGAAGGACCAGACTCTGCATATCATTCAAACCAATATCAGAAGTTTCAGGAAACATCATGATGAACCTAACGCCTACATAGCCCAGTCACTGGCAGATATCGACGTCATAATATTAACGGAAATAAACATTGGAGCAAACGAGCCGCTGTCGTTTGCGATAAGCGGATTTCATGAATCGTCAATGCGTCGTGAAGGTAGAAAAAGGAGTGGAATACTGGTATACATTCAAAACTTACTGGCGTTTCGATCGTACAGAATTATCTTTAAAGCGCGCGGAAGTTTTCGTGATGAATATACAAAATGCTGAAGTATCGTTTACTATATACAAGGTGTCTAGGCCGTCTAGTGGAAGCTTAGGGCTGTTTTATGAAGAATTTGACAAACTAATCAATTCCTTTACTAACAACGACTACATCGTTATAGCAGGTGACTTCAATATTGACGCAATGAGCAAAACAAAATATAGAGTCTCAGAATATTTAGGCATATTGCGTAATTATGGGTTACAAAATATGATTAACGGCTACACTAGAGAGAAGTCTCCTGCTAATAAAATTATGAAAACGGGCATTGATCACATTATAGTACGCACAGGCAACTTTATGTTTATAGCTTGGACCATGCAGCAAAATTATCTAAGAATAATAGGCAAAAATACCTCGCGTAAAGTGGAAGAGCAGAAGTAGAAACAAATTCTAGAAAACAATAAAGTAGATCGCAGTACAAATATGTATAAGTGGAATTCCCTATTACACCTCAATCACATATCGCTCTATAAACGGTAGTTGAGACATTCGGAAGTATGTATGAAGGCTCGATTAAAACTATCAAACTAAAACTTAGAAATGCTAGTAACAAATGGATTGATAAATATATAATTGAACTGAGTTTTGTTTTTAAACTACGTAATAGGGTGTAAGAATTATCCGACTAAACCTTATCAAAGGAAGAGTATAGGCAACTAGGAAACAGGGTGACAGCAAAAAATGGGCTGTCGAAAAGAAGTTTCATATGACGCAACCCCAGGCAGAGTGGTAAAACATAAAGGAAACATGAAATGTTGTTAATCAAATAATTGCAAAGCCACCCCGAATCAGTGTAGACGAATGCATAAAGAATAATTTCGGTGTAACCGACTTTGAATCGTTGAGTAACGACTTAAATAATGCTCTTGTTAAGCAGGTGGAAAATGTGCTTAGTCAAATAAGTATTATTGCAGTGAAAACAAATTTATTGGGATTTTCACAAAACTCGGCATACATGCAATAGATGGCAGAATTAGATCTTCAGGACATAACTTGCAGAATGTATAACAAAGCAGGCAGGATGTGACAAAATAAGGATCAGAGATTTACGGGTCAGTTTCAACAGCTTGGAGCACATCCTCCTTGCAATTTTAATTGGAATATTTGATAAGGGGAAAATACATGAACGAGATGAAAGTTTTAAAAGTTAAATTAATTTATAAACAGGAACGAAAAAATAGATATCAAATTATGGGTCAGTCGTGTTGTTGCCAGTGAGCTCCCAAATAATGAAAAAGTTTGTTTTAAAAACCATTACCTCCTTTTGTGACAGGTTCTCATTTATAAACAGCTGTCAATATGGCTTCCGACAGCAGAAAAGTACGACGCTCTTGCTGGAAGATTTGACTGAATTTGTGAATGAGAAGCTAGACAACAATCAAATAGTACTCGCAATATTCTGAGACCCAACGAAAGTATTCGATATGATTGATCATTCCATATTACTTGATAAACTCAAAAATCTGGGATTCGGAGGACCGCACTTCAGATTCGTTAAAAACTACTTTAACAACCGCATTCAAAACGTCAAAATTGGAAACAGTGTAAGTGAGGCCGTAGACCTTAATTAAGGTTTTCCAGAGGGATTGGTATTAGGCCCTATACTCTTTAATATATATGTGAATGACCTCGCTTTGCTGCATTTAAAATCAAACATTTATCAGTATGCTGATGATACGGCTCGAACAGTGGCAAGCGAAAACTACAATATTCCTCTCTACAACAGGATATCAACCAGGTTATGACCTGATTTTCAAGAAATTGTATTTTTGTAAACACAAACAAACGACTCTAATGTGCTTCAGGGCCCATCGAAAACGTATTAATCTTAGGGAACTGATTTTCTTACACACAGCAGAATGTAGGAATTGCTACAGCTCGCCCTTACTGTACACAACAGAAACGAAATACTTGGGCATACATCGACGCATATTTCAATTGGAACGTGCACACAAATCACTTAATGATCAATTGAGGGTAATGGCATTATACCTATATAGGCTGTGAAGTTACGCGGATCCGAATCTGAGGCGGACAGTCTACCAAGTGGTTGGTAAGTCGAAATTAAGATACAGAATAACCATGTATGCTTCCTGTTTCGATTTTAAGAAAGCACAAAATAAATAAAATGATAAAAAGGATGGTAAAGATATTCTGTATACAAGGCGGCTTGAGCATATTGCATTTAAAAAACAGCTCTCCGACCTGAATTTATTGCCAATAGACAATCTTTTAAGGTTTATTATTCTGACGAAATATTACTTCGCACCGGATATTAAGTCAGAGGAAACAAGAGAAAAGCAGCTCAGGAAAACTGAAAAATTCGTTGTTCCGAGAATATACACAAATTATGGAAAGAGGCTAAGGAAATATTACATACCACGTCTTTGCAATGAACTACCGGATAATCTGCAAAACATCCCGTCGTTTAAAATAGCAAAAGAGAAATAATGAAATGGTTTCAATGTACGCGCACATAAATATAAAGTATGTGTTGCTGATTAATTTATGATTTGCCAAAGCATGAGTTTGTAGTGCTTTCATCATGTTATTTTTGATTTCGCAATGTTAAAAATATATATATATATATATGTATGGTTTTGTTGCGAAATAGTTTGCCCCGTTCAGTGTCAATGACTCTTGATTGCATAATTTCAAGGGCACAGCCGACCCGTTTTGTGTATTTTATTTTACTCCTGTTGTAGTTCCTTTTTTGTTTTTGTCAAGTGTACTCCGGTGTACTGCCCGTACTCACACCACACATAAGCACGAAAGTGCTTTCATGAGGCGGATCTAAATGTTTGAAAGCTGAAGCGAAAATAAACTATTACTACTACAGGTTCGTTCATTCGCTTTGTTGCTGCGCAAAAAGGCACGTCTCTTCAACACGGGCCCCAAAACAAGCCGGATTCCGCCCGATCGTCGTGAAGTGACTATTGCCGACACTGTATATTAGATATGCGGCGTTATTCGCGACCTCCCTCAAATCCTGTTCGGATAACGCCGCACCATGGGGTACATACAATACATCTTGTTTCGACGGTTAAACCAGCTGAACTACGAATGATGAGACTCGTTGAATTTCATGTGTGAGCGGGGAATACCCATGCAGTTCAGCTATCCTATGTGGACAAATATTTTTTACGGTTAATACCTTTGTAGATTGACATGGCTGAGTGTATGGTGCCGTAAAATGATCAATATAAAACGAAACAAACATTACAGTTGCATATGTTCTGTCGCGCATGAACTCACCAAAATAACTCTTATTTGTTTTGTTTCTAGATTGCAGCTCTTAGGCGCCCGTTTCCGGCTTGCCGGCGTTTCCGGCGGCGACGTTGCCGGCGTTTCCGACAACGTCGCCGTTGGCATAATCATGAGGTCACGCGACCTCGGTGACGTCTTGTGACCCCCCTGAGGTCACAAGGGTCACGTGACCTCACGGTTACGCCGACGGCGACGGCGACGCCGCTCGGAGGGAGGAGTAGTAGTCAGGATGAGGAGGTGAGGAGGGTACACTCTCCCCTCAATACCGTTCCGTCCTCCTTCTCCTCAAGGGCTATGGACTACAAATGACTGGAACCACCTGCCCCCCTCCATCGCCACATTCGCAAACGCTCCGGCGTTCAAGTCTGCCATTGAAAACAATTATGTTAACTAATATGTGTTGAATTCTATTTTTTGTACTTTTGTTTTTCCTCCCACTCCCTTCTGTAACGCCGTGTGGCATTAAAGGTATTGAAATAAATAAAGAAAGAAAGAAAGCACAGTAGAAACTGCGTCTCTTGAGACGTCAGTGATTATGCGGGCAGAAACTGAGGGAGAGGAGGCGAGAGTGCGCGGGGACGTCAGAACATCCATCTCTGGTCGGAATGATTATACTCCGTTTCACCTTACGTCCGGACGCAGCAGACGCTACGAACTATCCCAGCCAATCCAGCTCTGGGGGCATAGCCGCTTTCCGCACGTCGCAGTGCCTTGTTTCCCAGGTCAAGTGACACTCAAACGGCCTTGACTTGGCTCCGATGGCTTGTAGTATCCACTGCGTGCGGACGTAAGGTGAAACGGAGTATAGTGGATAAGCGCAAAGCTAGCTGCGTTTGTCTGTAATGTGTGTGTACAAGACTGACAAGACTGACCAAACCTTTTGAGAAAATTTTTTTTTCTTTATTAGAAATGTAGAAAGACGGGGAGGTATATAACCAAATTATGCTGGCTTCCTACCGTCGTGATGGGGAGGGGGGGGAGAGGGATAAACAAAGAACTGATATGTACAAATGGAATAAAAAAATCATGAGAGTACGAAAACTAATAAATATATAATAAAATAAAAGTCAGATATCAAATCAGTCACAAAGGTGAGTCAAAACATATGCATCCTGAGAGGAAACAGATAACAACAAGAAATAGGTACATAAGCTATGCCCATTTTTCCCCCTTTTTTTTCATCTGGAATGTGTCCTGTCTTGCCTCGTGGCATGTTGCGTTGATTTTAATCTGCAAGCTAAAGTGATAGTCCAGGACCGCTTGCTTTGTTTGTTGATTTGCTTGTTTGTTTATTGAGGGCGTTCACCAACAGCGGTGGTGCATCACGATCCATACCAAAACAAAAGAAAACATGTGAACACTATATACATAAAAAAAGCTGAACAAAATAAAAATTCACATATCTTATGACTATGCTACGCTTGCCGTAACGAGTAATTGTCAATAAGTTCTTCAGAGCATGTGATATCCATTGCCGATGGTGGCCGGTTTCGCCATCTGGTTGAAAAGTCCGGTGTACGTGTTTCCTCTGACCGGAGGCCGCCGCGACGGATGTGACATCTGCTGGACGGCAGCCGCTGCGGCCGCCATTTCCTAGAACATGACCGAACACAAGAAGCACTCAGTTATCAATTAAACATGCGTTCTTATCTCGTACATTTGTGATCCCATCAAAACGATTATGTGAGTTCCCCTAAATTAAACGCTGAACTAACCCCCCCCCCCCCCAAAAAAAAAAAAAATATATATATATATATATATATATATATATATATATATATATATATTGATATGATGGAACTTGTATGTAGAATTATAAACTTGCAAAAGAAACGCTTAGGGCAATGTTTAGGTCGCGAAACTCATTATCACTAACTCGACGCGCTTCTATTTGGTGCTTCTCTTTAGGGATGACGTGCCCAAATGCACGGACTTCTCCGAATCGTTCTTCAGTCAAGCTAAATCTCGCAACCTAAATATTGCTGTACCTGCTTGTTTTTGTTTCCGCTTAAAGGAAAGATTTTTTTTTTTTTTTTTTTTTTTTTTTGCGTACGGGCTTTTTGTAGTTACTTAAAAACTATTTTGTGGAATCACCGTTTCGATAAACAATTCCGAAACACTTCTTTTTCAAGTATAGACGTGCCAAAATATTAGAAATGTTCCTAACTAACAATTTATCTCGCGTCGTAAATTTATTTATTTATTTATTCATATTACCCCTAAAGGCCCTCGTGAGAGGGTATTACATAGGGGGGGGGTACATAAATCGTTCCAATAGGAACTAGTGCACATTGAACAACATATGAGAATACTAGAAAACAATCAATACACTTAATAATAAAAAGAAAATAAAAAGAAAATTGCGCCATTTTTCTTTGCTTTTATCAGAAAAGGTTATTTTGTGGAATACGTGTTCAAATTAGGTACATAATAAAAAAACCTTTATGGGTTGTCTTTTTGTCTTATTAAAAAGCGTATTTGACAAAGATTTTTTTTTTTTTAATTTCAGGACTGTTTGCCAGTTGTTTGTTTTTTCGTTCATGCACGTGCTACAAGTTAAATTGTTGGGATCGGGCACGGTTCGAAAGGGGCTGGCAACTCCAGCTTTCAGACATTTGAAGCTGCAGCTGCCAATTAAGAAATGAGGCAATAATTCCAAGTGAGACCCACTGCCCCCTCTATAATGGTGATAGCTAAGCACGGGATTCGACTCGTTTCACGGTTGCAATTTTTGCGATGGAAAAATTGTTTCAGCAACGTCAGTTAATGGGCTCAATGTCATTTAAGGATATAAGAATACATCCTTAACGTGCTTCTTGTTGTCTCAATAGTGATTCGTTGAGCGAGTAATCGAATCAGTTTGCTAGAGTTTACATGAAAATCTTTAATATACTCTAGCGGATCGGGTCGGATTTGATTGGATGCGACAGGCTTACGAATTTATGCGTTTAGATGGGCCAATTCGATACACTAAATCGATGAGGTGCGCTACCGTGGGATTCGTGTGAACGCAACCTACAAAAAACGTGAACCATGCGCAGATTGTAAGTGCTTTCACGGAGACGTAGTTCCTGCATGCTCGCAAATAAGAAGTTATTTTACGGTACAGTCATGCCGCACTTACACTGCTCACACATCATCCAAAGGTCACTGCGTTAGCTCCAGACATGACGACAGAATAATCTTCGATCACTCCTGAAGCCTATCCGAAGCATGTTTGCTTCATGTAACATGTATTCGTGACTCCAGCGACCTATAGGGGACGCCACTATCGGGCAACTGTGGCGGTCGAATCCAGGTCCTGCCGTGCCATGTGCCAGCTGAACGCACAACGCTGCGGCACCAGCAAGCAAGCATTCGACTCAAAATGGCTTGCATCGCGTTTTATCTTTCACGTTTCAAACCTGCGGCGATGTGTTGGGGTAAGCGAACTTCCAGAGGCTTGACGTTCTTCGAGGAAACGAGGAAAGGACTGCCCACTGTCCTTCCAGGGTTCTGATGAACGTTTATAAACGCAGAATGTCTGGCTCACGGGGTTACATAGGTCGCGTGCAGAGCAACCTGGGCCACAAGGCGATACTGTGGTTAGGACACAGTCACCGGTAGAACTGTTATGTCGCGCAAACCACCGACAACATGTAATAACGGAAGCCACAAGAGACGAGCAGAAATCGCGAAAGGACCTGTTCCGGCCAGTTCAGTGTTTTCCCGCTAGGTGCCGTTCATTTTGTTGGAGTCGCAAATACCTCTAACATGTCTGCATTTCAGTTTTAAAAAGCGTGAGCATCCACTGCACCGATGCATGCAGCCGTCTTTCGTTTGAACGGCCGTGGTTTGCACTAGACTGGACTGGTCTCGTGAGGCCGCGGCGCGGTACCCTCCATGATCTTTCGCTCCGTTCGTTCTCTCGATAGTCCACGCTCCCTCTTACAAGCGGGAAAGGGTCTTCTGGCACGCTTCCAACTTCCAATGACGCGCCGATGGAGCGGGAAAGGAGGGGATCGAGCAGCTGTGTCGGTGGCACAACTTAAAAGGGAGTCGCAGCGACGACGCCGTTTGTGCGAAACCGCCGACACCCGGGAGGAAAAAATTGGATCTCCGAAAACAACAGTAAGCGCACCGTTTGCGAGGTCGGAATTCCTATCCTTCGCCGAGTCGCAATCCCTGCACTAGATGCTGAGGCATTTTGTAGAGAACAGTCGTAGCGAAAGCAGCAATTGCGGCAATATTTTTTGTGCGATCATTCAGGCAGGGCCGTCACAAGAGAAGAAACATGACTTGGAATGTGTCTGTAGACTGTTCTTTGTATAACGTATTAGCAGTGTGAGCGCGGCTTTAGACAAAGCTACAGGGTTACTTTACAGTGCACACGACCGGCAAAAGGCTGCGTTGAAGGTATAGGTCTTTATACCCACCTTTCGCCTCCCACTCATGGTCCACCAGCAGCATCCGAACGCAGCAACGCAAATGACGACGATGGCCACTCCCAACGCAGTGGCGATGATGTTTCCAGTCGGGGTGTGGTCGAAACCGCCGCTAAGACCTGGGCATGCATGAAAATACCTTCAGTCGTCCCTCCCCAGTCAGCGCATGCGGTGAGAGCCAGCACTCCCTATGCGGGCAGAGACTCTGGGAGAGGAGGAAGCGAGAAGGCGCGCGGTCGTCAGAAAACCGAGCTCTGGTTTCAATTAAAGTAACTGGATCCTGGGAAATCGGCACCATTGCCTTCCTTGCTTCGTAGCCGGGCGCAAACATATGCTAACTAACAGACGATCGAACCTCCCAAGGCGATTGGCTGATCGGTCTCAGTCGCCATGAAAATCACCATTTCGGTCCGTTCAAAATCTTCGAAGCTTGGAAGGGTCGTTCCAACCAGTCACACCAAGATCGCAGGGAAGCATCATCGCACTGAAAGCGTTCCTCGCCAATATAAGCGTTCATTGAGTCTGTGTATGCAATTCACTTATCAATCATGCTTATCTCCCCAGATATCTTATAATGAAATTGTTGTTGCTGCGTATTTAGACAGAAACAAAAATCATGAGCCATTCCACTTTGCGAAGGTGGATGACCAGTGAAGCTGTTTAGCACACAACCCAGACGTGACATTTTGAACAAAGGTACGAACACATTTACTGTCTTGATCGGGGGTCATCGTGACGAAAGGTACGCACACACATTTATTGTTGTCTTGATCGGTGGTCACTATTTCGCGTGGACGACTATCGCCACCCCAAGTAGCAGAAGGACACTAGACAAGCGCTGCGGGACCGCCACCTGGCGGAAAGTAGGCACGCGCGACGAGATCTCCACCCCGGGAGTATGGAAGGATAGAAACTAGGCACGCGAGGGATTGGAAGGACGACAAAGAGAGGGCGGTGTGAACGTAGACATGGTTAAAGCATAGAGTTATTATAATGTACGCTAGAGGTTCAACTGGCGCTAGTGTCTATGCGACTTCCGTGACGCAAATTGAAGCAGACAGCAACCAGTCTACTTTTCCAGACTTCCTGTGTATTCCTATAGGAAAGCGCGCGTGAATTTTGTCTCTTCGCCGGAAAATAACACGGAGCACTTTGGTTATTGGGGTCGTACCGGATAGCATGTACCTTGATTAACACTGTAAAAGTGTAATTGCTTTAGTTAGCGCATTTTTCTTCATCAGTCAACGATGTTTAACTTCGCTACATTTCAGTCCCAAACGTGTGTTCCGCAGCAGGTGTGTAAAAACAAGCGACGATTCGAAGCAAAATTACAATCGAAAGGAATGTAGAGTGTGTTCAAGGCTCGCCAGCAATCCAGTGACGCTTATATATTGATAATATGCCAGTCCTGTCACTATATAAAAATGACCCCGTCGTGCATGAGCGGATAAAAACATTCAAAACGTAGAGAATAAAGTCCGTGGCTAAAAAAGGTGTCTCTTCGTATTGTTTTCTCTGCCGGGCAGCTTTTATCGGGCACTTGTTCTCAAAGATTTCGAGCGTGCGAGTGATATTTTGAACGTAGAACAAGCAGCTTCGCTCAGAGCAGAAAGAATAAAACGGTACTTACTTATTTAAAATAGGAATAGATTACGTGGCCTTCAATTAATTTTGATCGTATATGCACTGATCCGGTGTTACTGCGTAGTTCCTGCCGTCTTTCTTAATTTCCAGATGTTCTTCGTTCGTTTGGCACGTATATCCCCCACGCTGAAAAGCGCCGACGTCGTGTTCGCGCTAACAGTGTCCGACAGTGCACATAAATACACGTACGAAGCCGTTTTAGCACCGATTTAATGCGATGAATTTGAAAAAAAAAACTCCGTAACTGACCAATTATTTCGTCGGCCTGACTGTGAAGTGTTTCAAGCTACCTAGTACGTACGAATTATTCGGGATATTTGCTTTTATGATCGAGCGCAGAGAGAAAATGCACTCACTTTTTCCCATAGAAATGCATTACCGGAAGTCAATTTTAGACTGGTTGCTGTCTGCTTCAATTTGCGTCAGCACACTAGCGCCACTTGAACCTCTAGCGTACATTATAATAACTCTGTGGGTTAAAGTAGGGTGCCTCGATGTCCTTCTGTTTAGAGTGATGCCACCCTTTGTAGTACCCGATGCCGACAGCACGCGCTCACGGGGAAAATACAAAGAAATCGACGAAAACAAAATGTCGCCATTGCACAGTCAGCGCCACACACGCGTGCAGGGACACGCCCTTTCACGCGCTTCTGATCAAAAAATAAAAATAAAAGTGGGGAACAAAATGGCGAGATGTCTCCACCCTAAGCAAAGCGCACATGAAGGCACCCTAGGTTAAAGCCCCTTCATGTTTCAAAAGTAACGCAAGGTGCGTCGATGCACGAGGCACGTCCAACGTGCAGCCCTTGGGAAGGCCATGGCGGCACAGCGCAGCAGTGAGCTAGATTTGAGACACCATGAATTTCCCAGAAGTGGCGCGCGGCACGTGCCTCGAGCATTTCTACAACAATGAATGGCGGAACTTTTTCCAGGATAGAGGGGCTTTAAGACATGGTAAAGGGCTGCCCACACTAGCGAGAAAACGCGCGTGGCACGCCGATCGCGGGAAGTAACAAAAAGTCACCGTAGCACAGTCAGCGCCACGAGCGCGTGCAGAGACACGCCCTTTATCTTCCCGCTCAACCGATTTTGCGGAACGCGTTTTCAACGCGATCGGCGCGTCGCGCGCGTTTTCTCACTAGTGTGGGCGGCCCTTCAGACATGGCCGACGCCGAGTGGCACAACAGCAAGTCTTTGAGAAACCTTTAATATATACCTGAGAGTCTACTGATCTTGAAATTGGTGCTTATTGATAACCATTCTACTGAATAGACCTATTTCTAAATTACCCAAGCATCAAAGAGAATGCAGGGAATGGTGTTCCACTCGCCGCACCTGCCGGCGTCTGTAGCAGTAACTGTTCTAAAGCAAACGCCGCCTTCGTCAACGCTTTATTTTGTTTTTTTACTTCTATGCTTTTATACCGGAAGGCGTGCACGTGCGGCGCCGGCGTCTTCAGCAGTAACTGTTCTAAAGCAAAAGCCTAAAACAAATGATATCTTGCATGCGCGTTCGTCAACGCTTTATTTTGGTTATTTGCTACGAATTTTTTATACGGGGAACTAGTGCGTGTAAGGTGCGTGCGGCTGTGAGAGCGTAGAGTTTTTGTTGACACACATGAAAAATCCACGGAACCCTACCCATAAATAGCTTCGCTGTGAAAATATTTTTCAAAACCGCCAAGCACTGTCGACACATCTGGTGGCGGTGCGAAGGTGTGCGCATATCTTACCGGTGTGTGGGTGACGAAATCTCGAAATTCAAAAAAACGTCTTCATAAAGCTACCCGTCACCAGCAAATTTAGATGGGCTCACCAAGGATGAGAGGTCAAGAATAACCTGCCCATTCAATGAACCAAAATGGCGACCATACGGGGAGCTTGGCGCTACTTTCTCAGGACCCAGTGACACCAGATGGAATGAGTAGTGGGTAAAAGCTGCCTCTGTCGCCACAGCACTCGTCGAACGCATTCAAACGCGAAACACTGGCGTCAGGCGTTTGGCGTCCGAGTATGAACGCCTTGGGCGAGTGCAGTGGAGACAGGGACAGCTAGCTTTTGGGTGTACCCGCCTATAATTACAACCAGAGTTCGACGTTCTGACCTCCCCGCGCACTCCTCTCCTCTCTCTCAGTTTCTACCCGTATAGTAACTTTAAAGGGGCCATGAAACGAATTGTTTTTACTTTCGCTAAACGCTACTTAGAATAACTCCTTAACGTTAATAACCGAAAAAAAAGTCTTAGTTTTCAATTCTAAGCAATGTCACCTGCCCCTCCCCCCTCCAAAAAAAAAAAGTCGACAAAATACTTTCTATAATATCTTTAAAGCCAGCTCGAAGAACTAACCCTCCAACCACGGGCACTTGCGCCGCCATAGCTTCTGAAGCAAAAAGCTGCTGTCGTCTGCTACTACCCATGGCCTCCGAGATCCCGAAGCGCGCGCGCGAAGACTTTCGCGCGCTTCGGGATTTCGGAGGCCATGTCCCAGCTGTCTCAATACTGCACGCCAGTCGCGGCGAAAGTGGCGCTGTGTGTGGTTTTCAAAGCGCCCCCTATAGGTCCCGCACGGAGTGTTACATTAGGTATAAGCGTGGCAGTTGCTAGAAGAGCGAGCTCCGGGCTTTCAGCGTCCCTGCCGAGCACGCGCACTCGTGCAAGCACTTTTGAGGGCCACATGCTCGCGCTTGTAGCACCGGCTGCATCTGGATTTAAGATGAAACAAAGTATAAAAGTTTTTTTTTAGGGCCCCATTTTAATGCGACAGAATTCTTCGTCGTTTAGTGGCCTTTCTAGTGTGCAAGGGGGCGACAGTGCTTTAGGCAAAGCCGTTCTTCACTAGCTGAAAGGGTTCTTTGGGGAGCAAAAGTACCTTTCAAGCAAGTTCTATTTTTTTTTTTATAGTGAGGCTTTTTAAATATTTTGTGGCGCGGGGGGTCATGCTGAACTTTGAAGTGGTAGCCAGGCTGCCAGGGATTTCGTTTCATTTAATTCTATTCACCTTAAAGGCATCCGAAGACGCATTACACGAGAGTGGATTCAGAAATAAAAGGCAAAAGAGCGGCAGGCCTTAATCTTCCTACGCGCCAAGTCTAGGAAGGTATTCTTATGGCCACTGGATGTGCGCGTCTCAACGGGGCTCATACGAAGATGTATGGGTGCAATGCAAGCGAGTGCTGACTTTATTTGAATACAGTGCCGAGTTCGTCAACGGGGGCATTCGATATCAAATCATGCCACTCCTCTCCATGGCCAAAGAGGTCCCAAAGTGCAACGCGCACATTGTTGCGTGCAGAGATTTTTGGAAGTAGTCTATTGTACCGAAATTTAGTCGGCATGAATTTATTAATTTTTTTTATTAATATTGACTTTTTCATTTTTCGACTTCAATGGGTAGGGAAGTCCCAGAGATAGCCGCTAACAAAGAATTGGAACAATGGTGATCGGGGCGACTCGACGCATTGTTCGACCGGGATAGTTTTCACTTCTTTGTTTTGTTTTACATCCAGACTGTCCAAAAGAATATTTTATTAAAATACGCAAATGGAACATTCACGTAACCCCACGTCCCGATCTCAGAATTGTAACGAGAGCACGTTCCTTTCGAACCACCGTAACATCTAACGGGAACTCGTTCCAAGATTGAGGAAGAGCGAGCTATTCTTCCTCTCTCGAATCCCCGAGCACATTCCGTAGTTTGCAGCGATGGGCTCTCCCATGTGCTTTGAGGCGAAGTAGACTCACCAGGTATTTTAGTGTGCACGACGCTGACACTGGTTTTCTTAACTGATCATGCGAAAATAATTCGCTGATGGAAAAACGGATTTGTATGCGCATATGCATAGTGTGAAAACGCGCTTGTCAAACAAAGATTCGAGAAAAATGAGAGACCAGCATACTTACAATGAACGAAGCCATTAACAGTGTCGCAGTGCACATTTTTGAAGCCAGATTGGGCAAGGCTGCGTCTCAAGCTCTCCTCTGTCTGCTGCGGGGGCAGTCCCCTCGCGAACAGTGGTAGATGCGAATTTCTTGGCTCGTTCGCCTCGGAGAGTGGCGTTGCATTTCCGAAGGTCAGGATGGCCGAGGCGGCGCTGACGAGTAGGCACAATCTCCGACCGTCCATGGCCTGCGAGCGGCAGAGAGCGGTGAATGCAGCCTGAATCCTCTGCTTTAGCTGACCCGACGGTTCCAACTATATGTACAGCATGTAACTCCCCCCTCCCTCCTCCCCCACCCCCCCCCCCCCCACACACACACGCACACAAACAGACAAAAGAAAAGTATTTTTTTTTTATTGTCCAAACCAGAAACCAAAGTTGTAGCAATAACCGTTATCTTATTTGATAGTTATAAGTGATATCCTGAAAATAAAATTTCAATGCGAAAATGGAGCCCCTTTTCGCCCGTTTTCTGTAATTTCCGTCATAGAGCTCCTCCACTTATTCGAGCGCTCTGTCGGCCGCCATTTTCGCGATGACAATTTCAGGAAATCCCTTCCACCTTCTGATTTAGATGACGGTCAGTTTCAAAATTTTGGCATCTCGTGGTTCGCGCCGCTAGCGCTACATTTTGGCCGGAGAATAAGTGTTCGGCAATGCGTAACTTAGTTTTGCAACAAAAAAAAAGTGTTTGGAAGAACACCTTGCCTACCATGCGCTGCAATAATACTGCAACCCTTAAATCGCGGTTACGCTGCTCATACATCATACAGAGGACCGTCTGCAGACATTAGGGAGTTCTAGGGAACCATGGCCCCCCGGTACGAACGGCGCATGTACTACCGCAGAAGACTCACACATGCGCAGTTCGTGCCGTATCAAAAACAGTTCACTAAAGCTCTCTGTTGTCTAAAACGTGCGTTTTTTTTTTATGAGGCTCAGTTTTGCAGACATGTTCCAAGCATACATGCCTACGAGGCAAGCGTGTAACGAACATGTGCTCGCGGCGTGCCCGGCGTCGATTGCGTCATCGCGTGTGCAACGAAAACCGCGTGTCTTTTTTTGTACCATGTACGAGGAGAATCAGATGTACGAGATATCCGAGGCGCGGGCACGTCCTGCTCCGCACAATGTTGGCATTCGTGACTAAAGTTACAGGAATTTTTGTTCCACTACCTTTGGCGTACGTTTGTTTGTGTGACACTGTGTGACGCCAGACTAAAAGTCCCGCTAAATATATAGCTGGAAAAACCTATTCGCTAAATTTAGAAGCGAAATTGTTACGTCCCCGTGTCATCCCGTGATGTCACGGGACTTTGTGGCGTCACGGTGTAACGTGACACTATGATTCCTCGATAAATGTGTCGGGAAAATTTTTTTTGCTAAATTCGGCGCACCCCCATGACCCACAAAAAACATAAAAAAGCACACCCAGTAATTTGCCTAAAGGGTAGCAGTTAACTGCTATCAGCATAAAATGCTTCGCAAGTTCAGTTAACATTATCTGTAACTCAACTCAATTCAAAATAATGTGGCATCAAAACTAGAGTGAAACTTTAATTATGACGCAACCCCTTATACGATAAATGTAGAAACGTAAACACAAACGCCAGGTTTCACTCAAGCATTAATGGAAGCTCGAATATATATATATATATATATATATATATATATATATATATATATATATATATATATATATATATGTGTATATATATATATATATATATATATATATATATATATATATATATATATATATATATAGGACGCGAAATTCACAGAGAATTTCGCCTCCTGTACAAAAATCATCTGTCCTTACTCACGATTTTTAAGAGGAGTTTCGATGCTTGCGAACCGCTGAGTCGATGTCCGTCATCGACGACTCTTGGGCAGGTCCGACCAGTTGTCGCTCCCGCGGCGACCCCAATAATCTGCTCCCCTTCGACTTCGGTATATCCCAGGTTGTATCCAAATCATACCAAGCCGTTCAAGCCTGGCTCTTATTTTGAAGTATCCGCGCGCCTCCACGTCGCCCGAATACCTCCGGAGTTTTCGAACACACTCCACGATGCTTGCCCCCTTGTCGTCGACTTGCGTCACCACGGACGGAGCTACACAAGGTCGCAAGATTCGCTCTTGCCGTCCCATTGCAGCGCGTGGCGGCAAACAGGAAAGATGCCGCGATTCCGATGTTCCCCTCTCTCCGCCGCAATGACCGTATCCCCTCATGCACCCCTCAGCAGACAGTGTGGTAGGAGCTACGCGCTCGCAGGACCGATGAGCTGCTTCCATTTCCTCCCCTGCCCCACTCTCTTCGCCTGGGTAAGCGCGTGAGCATAATCACGTGGCCAAAGATGAACCTGTGATTGGACCAACGAGCGCGTAGCATCCACAGTACTGTTCGTGAGCGGAGCAAGATAATGCCGACTTTCTACTGACTTTCTTGTTTTAACCCTTTCCGGCGCGAAGCAGTCTTGCCGCGCGCTTGTACGCTGCGTAATTACCTTTCCATCGGCGGCGTCGGTGTTAAGCCCTGATATTATCGTGCCCGGCTGCACAGTTGCGCAATAGTACGAAGTGCATTCATTATAATCCGTTCACCGCTAGGTTGACAGGGCTGGGGAACCCATGCACTCGTTTGACCAACCAACCGCCTGTCTCTAACCGCCTGACCCGACTCTCTGCGCGCGCATACTCGAGGAGGGCGTGATCAAGTGGTACAAGACGGACGGCTCATCGGTCCAAGGAAGACGTAGCATTCACCGAACTGTCAGCTTAGCGGCTTAGAAGACGGCTGTGGAAAGGGACGTACTACTAAACGAGCGAGGGGGAAGGCGATATCACTGTGTAATAAGTGGTGCCTTAAGTATGTCGTCATCGTCGTAACAGTTGACTTGCTATTTTTTTTTTCGTTTTTTTTTTTCTGTTTATTGACATATCTGCTTAGTACTACAAGTTGCTATCAAAGTTGTCATTAACGCAATAGCATGGCTCTTTGGTGCTCCCGTACTAGTACTCGCGTATGCAACCGTTACCAACTAAAAATTGGGTTGTGTGGTAGGTTTATACGGCCTAGAACTTGGTCTGCCTCACAGGGCCGACGAGTCTCCCAGCTGCAGATGAGCAATTTAGCCAGTGCAGTACAACCGCTAGCCTGGGGTCTTTAACGTGCACCACGCAGTAGTGATACACGACCGCACGCCGGTACGATGCACATTCAGATCGAAACGGGCAGGGGTGGGGCTCGAACCCAGGATCCCTGGGTTCTGCAGCGCGAGCTTTCGCTCCACGTGCTCCGAGCTGGTGTGCGCTAGCCCACTCAGCCACCGATCCCCCCTTCGTTACCAACTAGAAGACAAGAGGCCTGCGTACGATGTCATCGATGGTGCGCCCCTACCCGCTCAAAGCGGCAGTCACGGCCACCACCGAATTTATTTTGCTCGGCGAGAACACGGTAGGAATAGTACAAAATGGCCGCCAGCACGTGGCGATGGGATCACGTACATGCCATGTTTCGGACAGCTGATCCAACCGTAAAATAAGCCAATATGGGAAAGAACAACATTGACGATTTATTTGGGCTTCTGACTGAGCGCTCGCCTGACGTGTAGCCAACGCTGCCCTTAGCAAAAAGAGACCGTACTTCAAACGAAGTTGAAATATATTAAATACGAATATTCGTTTTGTATTTATTCTGTATTATTTTGGCCGCACTCGAAATACGCGCGTAAGGTATTCAAAATACATTATAAATATGAAGAAAAAATATTTTGGATATACCAAAAATATTATCCCTTCACACTCAGGATGCCATTTGTGCATTAAAAACTGGTTACACAATCATTTTTTTATTTTCGATTTTGTCAGCAAATGGTGTCCCTGCGGTATTTGAAGGCGCAACTAAATACATATCACAAAGCTACATTAGAAACGAACACAAACACAAACACCATGAAGCACTGAACAGCTCATTCACAGTCCCGTTGACTGCTCTAGAGCCTCATATAGCCTACATATTGAAGGTAATAATTTTTTCAGTGACCACCTCTGCACTTATTAAGGTTCCAAGTATTCGATCTTCTCCTCGGGAGTCTGTCAAACGGGAAACAGTGTTTTGAAGTTCGTGGACGATATCTCTTACTAAAAAGCATTGGTACAACTAATAACAATTCGGCGCAGTCCCTAAAACAATATCCACACAAACGGCTCATAAAATACATGTTATTGCTTCACTGCGTAGCACCACTCAGGACGAAGCGAATCAAGGCAGTTTCTTCACTTTAAAATATTGTAAACGACTTTATTTTCGTGAGGACCTAATTCTCGCAAAGTTCGCGAATCGCCTACAATTCCGAAAAATAGGTCCTGTGAACAATTCCGGCAAAATGTAAAAACATTTAAATCTATATTGCGATCCCAGCGCGTCGCGAAATTGGAATTTGCGATTTATTCCAAAACTCCAACTTTGACCTAAATCGCGAAGTATTGAGCCCGCGAAAAATAAGTATTTTACAGTAGTTATTTTGCCTTGCCTTTTTAGTAGTAGACTATTTAATATGGTAGTTAATGTCTCTATATTAAAGTAACTATTCACATCACGTACAATGGTGAGTATACACGTTCAGTGAACTAAAATTGTGCAAACAAAACCACGCCAAACGTACCTGTTCACAGCACCTGCTGAAGCTTTCCAGCATCAGCAAATGTTGTGGTTGTAGTTCCCGAACCCCGTTTGTGATTGGTGTGCAAGGAACTGATCAGGGGCCCTAAACTCGTCAAATACAAAGTTGTAGCCGAAAGTTGGCGGAGCGCGCCGATGGGACGTCGACGAGAAAAACGCGAAGTCATTGTCGTGATCGTCCAATCGGCGCGCTCCGTCAACTTTGCCTCCAACTTTGTATTTGACGAGTTTAGGGCCCCAGGTGTGTTCTTGATAGAAAGAAGGAAACAATAGCATAAACTGGGCTGATTTATCAGTGCATTGCTGCGCAATTCAGTTGACAAACTAATCAAATGTTGTATTTAGGCGCTTCAGTGTACTCCATATCTGCTTGAAGTGAACTTCTAGAAGGGGAGCTTTTCAATATTTTGGTAGTTTAAGTCTAATTACCAAAGTATTGCAGTCAAAAGGTACTTAGAGTATAACACAACAGTATTTACGATTTTCAGGTATTTTAAGAGTATTCCGCACGTATTTTTGATTGCTCGATGTTTTTAGGGTTGGAGTATATTTTGCATGAATTAAATAAATATTTCAAGAAATATATGTGAAAGGTATTTTGTTCCTATTAATTTAGTATTTACATATTTCAAAACGCATGAAGGGAACTTCAAATGTAATTTAAGTAAAGGTATTTTAAAATGATTTTTAGAAGTATATTTTAGTACTAAGTAAAAAAAAAAGAAGTTTATATTTTCAGTATATTTTTCGTGTACTTACAATTATGAACTGTATTTCAAATACACTCAAATTAGCATGTGGTATATTTCAAACGTATTAGTTTTCGCTAAGGGTGTGTACGCGTTCGTCAGGGGCTCGAGTTGGATCAGCGAAGAACCGATGGAACGCGAATCCCGGCCGAACTCTGACATTGAAATTACCCAAGCAGCATCTTTTAACCTATATATGTAGGCAACACTAATAAAATAGCCTTTTCTAAGCTGAGAGCAATTAGGAGGATACACTCACTCAAAAAGTAATAAAATATGTCAATGAACACTTTGTAACAAAAATAACGTCTCTACCCAATAGATATACATTGAAGCCAAAATAACGTGATTCATTTATCGTTCTCAATACAAAGTGTCGCAGAGGTTTGTAGTATGCAGAGGACCAGGCCGATGGGGTTCTTCGCTATGCCATGTTTATTGCAAGACTGCCGGAGCCATCGGGTGATTGAAAACCCGGGGTGGAACGTTACGCCGGTAGCTGGGCATGGCTTCAGAAGAACAGGGTCCCGAGGAGCGTGAGCACGCGCTCGGCGGTGCGCGCTTATTGTATCTCCGATATAAGACAACCCCAGACAGTTAAAAGCAAGTAAACCCTTCAACGGAAGTCACAGGAAAGTTGGAACGAATTAATACGATATAACAAACCCACACACGAAAGAAACGTTAAATATTTACAGTTTTAGATAAGAATATGACAGCGCACTTTTCTTCTTTATGGCGAAAACCTGTCAGGCGAACGCCGTTGCCGGTCGGGGTACCGATGAAGTGTTCCTTGCGGCTGAGGCAAGGAGGAGCCCGAGAATGGAGTTGATGCAGTTTCTTGTCCTTTGAACATCGGTGGCGAATCTGCAGGCGGCTCGTTCTCAAACTCCCCTCACCCTCGGGGTGTCGATGTCGACAGGGCAGTCGGTATCAGCAAGTCGCCCTCTGGCGTCTCCGGGGTAGAAATCTCCCGCAATCGCAGATGGTCTTGATGTCGCTGCCACACAAAGGTTCTCCTCGGCGTAGTTACGCGAAGCCTGTAAGAAACTGGTCCTGACCAAGCCACGACAACTCCGGGCAACCAACGGTTCCCCGACCGGAAGTTCCTGACATAGCCCTTATCCCCAAGTGTGAGATGTTGCGGATGACCGCTGTGTATCACCTGTAAAATATCCTGCTTGTGGTGAACAATTTCCTCGGTGGAGGGTCGAAGTCTACCCAGCCGGGTAGTGAGCCGCCGTCCGAGTAGCAACTCCGCCGGGCTCTGAAGGGTTGTGGCGTGAGGTGTGTTTCTGTACGTGAACAAGAAACTTGTCAGTCGCAGGGACAGGGTCGACCTGGCATGTCTTTTTGTAAAGCTTCTTTCAGGGTGCGAATGAAGCGCTCGGTCAGTCCGTTACTGGACGGGTGGTAGGGGGCGGTCCTGACGTGCCTCATGCCGCTCTCTCGCAAGAAAATGTGAAATTCTTGAGAACAAAATTGGGGGCCATTGTCGCTAACAATAACATCTGGCAGACCGAAACGACTAAACAGCTCCCTGAGCTTTTGAATAGTTGCTTCGGCCGAGGTGCTGTTCATCATAAAAACCTCGGGAAATTTGGAGTGGGAGTTGACGCTCACCAGAAACTGGTGGTATTGGAAGGGTCCCGCAAAATCCCAGTGCAGCCTCTGCCACGGACGAGTTGGCCAGGACCAGGGATGCAGCGGGGCTGGACCGGGAAGGCTC